AGCCAACAACTTACAACAATTGAATTTTATTAATTCTTTATGACTATAGCAGTATTTGCCTGCTATATAATTTCTAATATAATAACTTGATAATTTAATTTTTACAAAAAAAATAATAAAAAGAATTCTTAAACAATTTAAGTTTTTTTATTAACTCACATTTTAATTTCATCAATTATTTATTAATAACTGCTAAAAATATATAAAATTTTTAGAAATTTGTTATAAAACTTAAAAATAATAAGTATGAAATAAAGTTAGAATATGAAATATTTATAATGTATTAGTGTTAGTTTTAAATTTTATTACTTCAGAAATGTATTATAGCCTTGAACTTCATTATTTTAAAAATATGCTATTAACTAAATTGTAATTTCTTTTTAAGAAAATAAGCTGTTTAAATACTTGTAGTTTAAGATTAGTATATTTTGAAAATATAATATTTTCAGTATCTAAAAAGTGATATTTACTAGATGTTGATATTGCAAAAATTGAAAGTATTTGCAAACAAGCTTGATAATTGTAAGAAATCTCTCTTGATTATTTTTTTATCAGTTAAAAAGATTATGTATTAGAGAAATTTTTGCTTAAGCAAAATAATCAGTTACTTTATCTATTTGAAAATAATATAGCTAAAATATTTGAGTAATAAGTGAGTTGTCACTTTTAGTTATTTGTTAAAATTTTTCATAATTAAACTATAAGCTTGCAACCATATTTTTTAATATATTTATCATTTCTAATTTTTTATTTTTAGAGACAAAATTAAAAGATTTATACCAGAATTCACCAATACTGCTAGCATATCAACTTCAGAGAAAACTGAATAATAATGATGCAAACTTTTATTTAAAGCAGTTTTGATTTATTTAATAAGTCTATCACAATTTTGGGGTATATTAATTCAGATTCATCAAGTTCTATTTTTTATCTCATTTATTTCTTTATTTGTATTCTCATCAATAATATTATTATCAAATGCTGTCATACTTGATTCAAAGTTGATTATTACTGATTTATCATCAATATCCAATGCAAGATTAGAAGCTAAAATTGATATTACATAAAACATAAAACTAATTGTTAAATAATTGATTTTTCCTAAAAATTCTGTTGTATTAGCAAATAGTTTTAATACAGAAAGGAGATCTTTAATAGTATTCTACTTGGCATTAGTTAATTTTTAAACTATCTTATTTTTCATTTTGATTCATGATTAGTTTTTGTTTCAAGTATACTAATCATTGCATTTATTGCAAATTGTAACTTTATTAATCTTTTCTATGTAAGATACAATAAGTTTTATTAAGTTTTTGTATTAGCAATAAGCCACAAATAGTGATCTGTTTTGTGTAAAATCTAAAAAAATAATAATATTATAATTAGTTAACTACAGTCAAACCTCTCTATAGTTACCTCCTCTATAGTTACAAAATTGATATAATTACAAATTTATTTTTATCAATTATTTATAACTATATAAAAAATATCTCTATATTAGTCACATCTCTTTATAATCACAGTTTTTTGTATCCTGAAAGTGTGACTATAGAGGAGTTTAACTTTAATTAGTTAATAATTAAAATAATATATATAATATTAATTTTTTTAGTTGTTAATATAAATAAACTCACCTGATCTTTGGGTACATTTATTTTTAATTAAACTTGTTTTAACTTTTCACTTTGTTTTGAACTTATAAAAAAATTCATCAACTTTCTAGTTTAAGCTAAAAGTATTTCACAAGGAATAAATTCTTTTAATTACAAGCTGTAAAGTATATGCAATATATAGTATTCAAGTTAATTCAGATAAGAACTGTACTGCCTTAACCATGTTACTTCTATTATCAATAGTAATACAAAAAATTCATTTATTTAAATTATACTCATTAATAATATCATCTACTATATTTGAATAGACATACCCATATGTAAATATGATAAATATTTAAGAGCTAAAAGCAATTTGTTTAATTTAAAATTTTCATCCAAATATGAACAAGTAATTCTAATATATCTATTTTTTGACTATGCTATCCACAAATAAGTTGTTAATAAACTATAAAAAAGTGTCTCTAAAAGTTTATCCATAAGCTGTTGATTTGTATGTGTGAATACTTATGATAACAAAATTTTTATAGCTTTTTTAGATAGAAATTTATAATTAGAAACTGCTTCTTTTATTAATTCAATAAATCTATTATCTACAATTACTGAAAGAGGTTGTTAATTCTTATATATGTTGTATCTCAGATTCTTTTCTGCATCAGATTGAAGATGACACACCTCAGATGCTGATTGTCAAGTGAGGTGCGTAACTTGTAGATCAGTCACTTGAGGTCTCAAACCATAATATGATACAGATAATTATTTAACAATAGTGATAGTGATAGATAATCATTAAATATGTAATAAATGATAGTAAATGATAGTAAATGGTCGTAAGAATATTTCAAAGACGTATTTAAGCAATTGAACGTAATTTGGTCAGAACCAAATAGGTATATAAGTCTTTTGACTAGGCTTTGTTTATTTTTTGGCCTCTTGGCTTTTACAAAAAAAAAATTTATCTTTCTTGAGCTTGTTGAGTTGTTTAACCTTCATTACATATAGAATAACCTTTATCAGTAAAAGCACTTTAGAACAAATCATAAATTATATATTTAACCTACCTGAATCAAAGCGTGAAAAAGCTTTAATCAACTATGAACTTTTAATAAAAATAAAAACTATTTTATTAAACCCTAAAGACCACACACTATATAATAAAAACACTCACAGCTAGGCCAAAAAGAAATTCTGGCTTGAAGAGATCACATCAGGCAATTATAGAGTAATTGAAAAAGAGACAGGTAACCCCATTTTAGTAAGAAAGAAATTTTATGAAGTCCTTTGTCAAATTCATGGTGAGGTTACACAACATGGAAACAAAAACAGATGTAGAAGTCTATACACTAAAGGTGGAGCTAGATCAAGCAGAACATTATTGAAAAGTTTGTCAATAATTGCGCTGTGTGCACTGTTCGTAAACCTGTGTTCTACCCTCTTGCAGCCAAGCCAATAATAGCTAATAATTTTTTGTCACGCATTCAAGTAATTCATCATCTGCTTTGGATTTATATGTATTTTGTTTTATATTTTTAATTTTTTTTTTTTTTTTTTTTTATTTATTAATTTTACAAATAAATCTAATTGACTTATCTTTTGATCCAGATGAAAATTTTAAATATGTTTGTCATTTGAGAGATCACTTCACCAGGTTCTTTTGGGTAAGAGCCCTTACTTCCAAAAGGCCAATTGAGGTTGTGGCATACTTCTTTGAACTTTTTCATTCACTTGGATCATCACTGATGATTCTACAGTCGGATATTGGAAAGAAGTTTGTTGCTCAGGTTATTAAGGAATTGCTTGAGTTATGGCCATCTGTAACTATTATAAATAGAAAGCCCTGCCACCCCAATCACAAGGGCTTGTTGAACAAACGAATGGGATCTTGCAGCAAAAATTGGAAAAATGGCAAGAAAATACTGGTCATAAGAACTGGTCATTTGGCTTAAAATTTGTTGTTGTGGTGATGAATAATTCATGGTGTCACTCTCATAAAAAATACTATTTGAACTTGTTTATAGCTGTAAACCATATAGAAACAGTATCTTGGTGAATGAATTATATGAAAAAAAAATTTATAATGAAGAGGACATTCCAAATACAGTTCAGATCAAAATTGACAATACATTAAATTTGGATGACAACATGGAAGGCATGCTTTTTTTTTTATTTTTTTTTTAAATTGATTTATTTGTTTATTCGTTTATTATGTCTTTACTAATAATAATCTATTAGATCAAGATCCAAATCAACCTAATGATTTTGATAATCCTTTAAACAATATCGATGCCAACATCAATGCTGATGCCAATACCAATGCCAATACCAATGCCAATACCAACACTGATGCCAACACTAATGTTGATGCCAATGCTGATGCCAATGCCAACACCAACCTTGATGCTAATACCAATACCAATTTCAATGTTGATTTTGATATCGATGCTAATGCCAATGCCAACACCAATAGTATTAAGTAACTTAAATTTAGCTTTTGTTTTATTGTGTAATAGAATTTAATTCTTCAGACCAACCAGTTCTAGCTAATATCACGAAGCAAGATGCCAATGTTATGTGATATAAAATTCTACAAACTATTGCTTGAAAAGATCTTCAACAATATACTAAAAAGATGACTAAGCAAATGTTGAAGAAAAGAAAATTAAATAATTTTAAGATTGGGGACCTTGTTCGGATAAGCATTCCAAAGATAGATTAGTTTAGTATCGATCGCCCTTCTTTGCCCTGTAAAATTTTAGAAGAAACTGGTAAGCAACAATTCCGGCTAGGATATAAATTTGGCATGATCAATATATGTTATTCCGCTAGTGAACTCGAAGAACTTGAAACTTCAATTTACCCTAAACTTGATACAATTCCACCAGGCAACATATCCACCTGAGAGGCGGCAAGGCTCCAAAGTGTTGAAATGGTATTGAGCTCTATTTGTAGTTGTAAGGGTTCGTGTGATACTAATAGATGTAGATGTAGAAAGGTCAAAGGAAAATGCACAAGCCAATATCATGGTGGTCGGCCCTGTTCAAATAAAAATTAGTATTTAATTTTTAATTTAATATGTAAAGCAATAATAAATAAATAAAATATATTGCTTGATGTGCTTTTAAATTAGTTTACTGTAATGCAATAAATTTGCTAAATTATATACATACATACTACATTTGAAATAAAAAAAACTGATTATATTTTTAATTTGTGCCTCATATTACAACTGAGGCACCTCAAGTGACTGATTTACAAGTTACACACCTCACCTGACGATTGGCATCTGAGGTGTGTCATTTTCGATTTGACACAGGAAAGGATCTGAGGCACAACATATATAAAAAATATGATCTTATTATTCAAAATTTGCTTATAAATTAAATTTATTTAATTATGTTCAATATTTGATACATTATCAATGTTGTCTTTAGTAATACTATGTGCCATTTTAAGGTGATACCAAAAATTACCTGTTGACTTTGCAGTATTGAGATTTACCTCTTTTCCACATCGTTCATATCCATTTTTACCAAGTATATTTACTTTACAACTTCCAACTTGTTTGATTTTGTCCTTTTTAAAATAAAACCACACCTTACTTATCGAATTTTCTTCATCGGATTCATCAGATTCATTGGAAGAAACCAAAGGTAAAGTATCAACTTTTCTTTTTTTTGAATTTTGAGAATTATTACTTGAGTCACTTTCGTGAATTTCGTCCATGGTTAACAAGAATAAGACAAAAAATTTTTTTTATATTTAATTTTTTTACGATTAATTTTTTATTTTAAATATTCGTATATTTTATTTAATATATTAAACTTTTTTTAATTTATCTATTTGACTTTAATTATTATTATTATATCGTCATCAATTAATTATTGGATAACCGGATAATCCGGTCTAATCATCTGAAATCAAAATTTATTTGAATAATTATGTCATATTCGGATTATCCGGATTGGTCAGATAAAAAGTTCTATCTCTATTCTACTTATAATACAAGATTACCGATGATCACGCAATTCATGTAACAGATCACGTTACACGACCCCGATCCATGCAAATCACGGCACCACGAAATTCCGATTAACCCATATCACCTACAGAATAATGTTTTACAAAAGATTGATATATGATCCTGGAGAATGCGTTGATGATTTAAATCTTCTATTCAAGCTACGCATAGTATTCAAGAAAAAGCTTTAGAATCTCGATAATGTTTAATTATTAAATTAATCATTAATTGTATGCGATAAATTGAAATTTGCGGCTAAAAATTTAAATATATTTAAAAAAAATAATAAATATTAAACTTGAAGTTTTTTTTTATCTTGGCGTATTGATTTTACCATAATTTGAAAAATATGTAGGAATATATATAATTTTGCCCATCTCTAGTCGTTTCGCCGACAAATTTATTTCACCGACAATTATTTCACTGACAGCTATTTCACCGACAAAGTAATTCGGATCATTATCGTTAGGATCAGGTTTAGAATTAAAGTTGGTGCAATTTTCAAAAAAACTTGTTAGTGAAATATTTGTCAATGAAATGGTTGGTGAACGGTGAAACGATACAGATCCTAAAAATTGTACTGCATATAAACAAGAACCGATACTTTTAATTTGAATTAAAAATTTTAAAATTGGTTAAAAAATTCAAATAGCTAGTCCATTCCCATATAGCACACACGTATGCCAGATCTAGTGGATTTTTCGGCGACGATCTGGAACCCATTTTCCCTTTTAGAACGGATATTTGTGTTTTAATCTGTATACGTAATGAAATGCTGTTACACATAGTGCCTAATTATAGAAATATTAGGATGCAGTAATACGGACAAATTTTATTTAATGCTTTGATCACCGTTTTTTTTTTTTCTTGGTTTTAAAATGTCAAATAATCCAAATGTAGATTTTCATGAAAAAATCGTCAGTTCATCAAATGATATTACCCAAATAGCTGACAATTTTAGCCAACTATATTTAAAAGTCAATAAGTCGCCAGATTACTTTATTGAAATTGTTAAAGAATTATTTAACCTGTACAATATAGAAAGATCTAATTGTGCTGATTCGGAATTAGTCATTAACAAATTGGATGAATTTCTTAGAAAAAAGAAGCAAGATCCTGTTACTATTATCAATTGGTGCTTAGATGATCAAATAAATCCTACGTCTAACATCATTCTTGCAAGTTGTTATCGTTTTGGTAAATGGGTATGAACGATGTGGAAAAGAGGTAAATCTCAATACTGCAAAGTCAACAGGTAATTTTTGGTATCACCTTAAAATGGCACATAGTATTACTAAAGACAACATTGATAATGTATCAAATATTGAACATAATCAAATAAATTTGCTTCGTAAGCAAATCTTGAATAATAAGATCATATCTTTTATATGTAAGGATCAACAACCTCTTGCAATAATTACGGATGATGGATTTATTGAATTAATAAAGGAAGCAGTTTCTAATTATAAACTTCCATCTAAAAAAGCTATAAAAATTTTGTTATCATAAGCATTCATATATACAAAGCAACAGCTTATGGATAAATTTTCAGAGACACTTTTTTATGGTTCATTAAAATCTGATTTGTGTATGACATTGTCAAAAAATGGATATATTGGAATTACCTGTTCGTATTTGGATGAAAATTTTAAATTAAATGAATTGCTTTTAGCTTTTAGATATTTATTTACCATATCCACATACGGGTATATCTATTGCAAATATAGTAGATGATATTATTTATGAGTAGAATTTGGATGAACAAATTTTTGTATTACTACCGATAATAGAAGTAACATGATTAAGGCAGTACAGTTTTTACCTGAATTAACTCGAATACCATGTACTGTATACACTTTACAGCTTGTAGTTGAAAAAGGACTTATTCTTTGTGAAATACTTGTTGCTCAGGCTAGACGGCTGATTAATTTTTTTATGAGCCCAAAACAAAGTGAAAAGTTAAAACAAGTTCAATTAAAAATAAATATGCCTGAAGATCAGGTATGTTTATTTATATATTATTTATTTATTAACTATATAATTAGTTAACTAATTATAATACTATTACTTTTTTTAGATATTATGCAAAACAGATCGCTATTTGTGGCTTATTGCCAATACAAAAACTCGATGAAGCTCATCGTATCTTGCATGAGAAAGATTAATAAAGTTATAATCTGCAATAAATATAATGATTAGTATACTTGACACAGAAACTAATCGTGAATCAAAATGCGAAGTAAGACAGCTTAAAAAAATTAATTTAACTAATGCCGAGTGGGATACTATTAAAGAGCTCCTTCCTGTATTAAAACTATTTGCTAATACAACAGAATTTTTAAAAGGAAGCAATTATTCAACAATTAGTTTTATGTTTTATGTAATTTTAATTTTAGCTTCTGACCTTGCATTAGATACTGACGATAATTCAGTAATGATCGACTTTGAATCAAGTATGACTATATTTGATGATGATATTATTTATGAGGATGCAGATGAGAAAATAGATGAGATAAACAATAGAACTTGACGAATCTGAATTAATACACCCCAAAATTGTGATGAGCTTATTAAACGAATCAAAACTGCTTTAAATAAAAGCTTGCATCATTATTATTTAGTTCTTTCTGAAGTTGGCATGTTAGCAGCATTGTTGGATCCTAGTGTAAATCTCTTAATTTTGTATCTGAAAATAAAAAATTAGAAATGATAAATATATTAAAAAATATGGGTGTGGCGACTTAGTGAAGTAGTTAAGTTGTCGCACCTTCAAGCGATATGTTGGCCAGGTAGGGGGTTCGAAACCCACCAGACGACGAATTTCGAATATTCTACTTGTACGATGGCTACTATCTTTTGACGATCGGTTGGAACGGGATCTTTGTAACCTTGGTGGTACCAACAAGATTTGAAGATCATAGGGTATTCATGTAATGTATGAGTTACATGAAATGTTCTGGATCGTGTTAATCCAAAGAACCGGAAAGATGGATGCCCGCATGGCAAGACCCGAGTAGAGAGGTAGTACAGATCTTTGATGGTGCTACATAGAAGATTGCCATCAGAGAACTAGCAAAAACTGAACAAGGACCGGTGTATGGCAAGGCACCCTACCAACCAGGCTGCCGGGACCGAGTCCATCAGAACCGGAGGAAAAGGATCTGCTTAGTTGCAGATACCAGGGGAAAAAATCTCTTCCGAGCTATTTGGATTAGTAGTTTGGGATAGTTAGGGATACGGTTGACAGTCTGTAAAGTGGGTATTGGGGTCTGGGTAAACTCTACAAGGGGTAGTAGATAACTATAGCGGCTTCGGCTCGCAAGTACTTGTCTTCGGACTCGGTGTAAGTTACTGAATTTAGGTAAATCCGGATTGTGGGTTCAGACTGCTCTAGTGTCGATCTCTCGAAAATAAATTAGTACTAAGGAAATGGATAAAGTATTTGAGACTTCTTGACTGACAGATGTACCGGAGATGTCTTGGTGACACAGGTTTAGTTACATTACAGAGGGGTTA